TGTGTGTGAATGGGGTGTGTCTCTGTGTATGTCTGGCCTCCCCCCTATTGTTTGCCAACAGTGATTTAAGTTTACATGGAACATCTCCATAGTTGAAGTGTAAACAATGAATAGGAAGGAATATATGACAGGATGATACATCACATATGCATTACATGGAGGGCCTTCACTACTTCATGCACTCAGAAACATGCATGAAGAGGAGGAGAGGACAGTCCTGGTTACCATCCAGGTGCCTTGAAAAGAGAGAATGCAGAAGTGGCACAGTTGATAGTTAGAAAACCCATATGAGAATGGTTTTCAGGTCTTAGATGTTTTGCCACAAAGAGGTGTTTCCTGAGAAGTTTTCGTTCCCATTTGGAATACAGGATGGCTTGATGGGTACTGTTGGTGAGCCCGAGCGATGGAAATGAACATTTTGCCACTGCCCATCCCGGCGGTGCCAGACTTGGGTCTCTTCTGACTGCATCGTCTTTGGCATTCCACTGCCATCCATGTACTGTGTGAGCCTAATATAAGCTATGCAGGCAGCATCATTGCCTACCAGGTGGGCATGAGGGTTCAGGATAATAGTGTGTATTGGTTTATTGCTTTTAGATAAAGCATTTTCAAAGTAGAATCGATGAAAGTCCATCCCTTCCACTAAATTACCCAGTGCTTCGGGTTCAAAGGCAGTAAGGCCTGTATCACAGATTTTTGTGTAAGCTTCAAAGTCTCCATTGTTGATTGCTTCAATCAGTTGCTCAGTGACTTTGATAATTTCTTGCTTTCGTGCTTTCACATCTTCATCTTCGATTGTTGTATTTGAACTCTCAGTTGACTCCTTTACTCCATCTGGTTTCTTCAACAAACTCTTGGCTGCTGAAAAATTCCTCATAGCCAGCATAGTGGTCAAGATGGCACCCTTTAGTTTTCTTCTAGCATTAAATTTCTTCAAGCAGTCTATAGTCTCCTGGCTGTGCATCATGGAAGCAACAGTAGAACGTTGACAGATCCACGGGTGCTTCAGGGCCTCTGAGGCGGTGATACGTTTGGCAGGGTTGATAGTAAGGATTTTATTGATGAGGTCTTTGGCTTCAGGAGTTAGTCTGTCCCACTCTGGTGACGGAAAATCATAAGCTCCGGCCTTGATCTGTTGATAGAGTCTGTGTTGGTCCTCATCCCAGAAGGGTGGATATCCCAACAGAAGAATATAGAGAATGACACCACATGCCCACATATCCACTGGCTTTCTATACGGATCTTTTTTTTTTCTATAATTATATTTTATTAATTTTCATAAACATTTACAGAGATTTTGGGCTTCCACTCATTCATTGTTGCACTATTCTCTC